GACTGTATAACACATCATGATGTCATCAGTTAGACTGTATAACACATCATGATGTCATCAGTTAGACTGTATAACACATCATGATGTTATCAGTTTGACTGTATAACACATCATGATGTCATCAGTTAGACTGTATAACACATCATGATGTTATCAGTTTGACTGTATAACACATCATGATGTTATCAGTCACTTGGACAATTCACCTACACTGCCATCAGTAATAATACACCTGCATATATATTCATTTATGTACTGTACTAGGTATATGTACATTGTTATATATTACAAGTATAGTCTTTTTTGTTTTTCTTTTACTTATCTTTCTTTATTCTGTCTCACCCTGTCCTGTTTTGAGCTGCTGTAATGTGCAAATTTCCCCACTGTGGGATCAATAAAGTCTTATCTTATCTTATCTTATCTTATCTTATCTTATCTTATCTTATCTTATCTTATCTTATCTTAACACATATACTGTGATATGAATTTGAGGTCATACTGCCCAGCCCTACATACAATGCACTTCTTGATACAGGAGCTGACATCACAGTCATGTCTGTTGAACTGTTCGAGATCCTGCAATGAGCTACAAACCATGCTAATAGAGAACTAAAACATCAGTCTTGCTCACTAGAGATAAAACCCTATTCTATGGAGGACTCAACATTGTCATCATTGACACCGATCCTGGTCACCTTAGGTCCAATGACCATGGTTCACTCAGTGTACATTTCAGACATTGACACCAATCCACTTCTGACTGGATTGACAGACTCCTACCTCTGCTTCAGAAGACTGAAGAATTTCTTTTCCTCAAGAAACTGATACAGGTTGCTATCAGTTGAGAGCTACAGACAGCTTGGACGCCGACACCCTGGAGTCCAAGGACCTCACAGGTGAGGACCACAAATGCGATGGTCCGCCAGAGCCTGGAGAACAAACCCCTCAGCAAACACAACCACTTGAACTGCTACTGTCCAATTGTGACACTTTCCTTTGTTCTCTGGACCCAGAAACAGCCAAGAGCTGTTGTCCAGTGATACAGAAGTGGGTCACACTGCAGGGCACATAGCTTTATAGGTTGATAAATCAGCAATCAGCCTAAAGCTTTACAATAGGTTGGTTCAGAACAGACTTGACATTAAAAAGGTGGACAAAGTTTTCCACTTTCTGACAGTTGCACGGCCAACAACCACCTACATTGCAAAGGGCGTCTGCAGCCTCACTGTGGACTGGAACAAAAGAGCTTTCACACACACCTTACTAGTGATACCTGACCTACCACATTCAGTCTACATCAGGAGAGACATGTTGGTTAGGCTTGGTGTCCAGGTGGACACAGTGCGTAATATACTGTGGTCTCTTACACAACCAGCCCTAATAAGGACCAACTTTCCCCCAATCCAGACTGACTCAGATCAGGGCAGACCATACCTGGTGTGTGCCAAGTGGCTAATAGCCAACACATTACGATCCCTGCATGCACACAAGATGTGCCAATGCAGATCCACATTTTGGCCGGACAAAGTCTGGACCAACCACAAGCTTTCTTTCAACCAGCTCTACTGTACTTAAGCTTGGCCTGTCCTTAGAGGCTACACCTCTCCTAGGCCTCGACTCAAAATCCACAATACTCTCGGTGAACAACACCCAGAGAATGGACATACTGATACCAAAGGCCACCCTGTTGGGCTGGCTTATCAGTACTGATTTTCATGACTTTGAGTTGGGCATACCGATTTCAGGGTGCTTACCACCCATGCTTCTTCCTGAAGAGATGGCTGTACAAGTCATCATTACAAAACCAGGAAGGTAAATAGTACTTTTCTTGGTCATGTCCTTGAACCCCAAGTCTGTTAACATCGACCTCACAGACCAAGTGGTCCCCCAAACCATAGACATTATGTCAGGGAATAGCCCTGAAGGCGTGTCAGAGTCTCAGCACCACGTACCACCTGACCCTGGTCCTGACCTTTGGAACAGAGTCGGTGGTCAGTCAGGCTGACGCTCTCAAGAATGACACTGAACGTGAGAAGCTACGTAACATTCCAGGTAAAGACAAAGATCTTAATGAACTGGTAGACTCCATTAGTGGTAAGCCCTGGTCATTCGACTCAACACTCCTGAAACTCCTAACCAAGGAGTTCATGCTACAGAAGTGACTCTTGTGTGACCACTGGTGTCAGACAGGTTGTTCTGAGTATTTCAGAACCTGCTGATGTTTACACACATCCATCACCAGGGTTTACAAAGAAAGACAACATGTCCACTACTGATGTGGATCAACAAAGCCTTGTTAATGTCAGAGGTCAGAGGATAATGAGCATAATGGATTGACATAAAAGAAAGAAAGTAGGTCTGTTAATGACTAAAACCATCTCTGAACTTCACTAATATCTGTAAAACTATTACCTTGAGTTTTTTAATTCGAAGCGTTATAGTCTGGATGTCTGTGCTGACATCCAGACTCTGCTGTTGCTCCAATTCTTCTTCCGTCTCCCCTAACCAAGTCCAGATGTTGTTCAGGTCAGAGTTCAGTTGCTGACACTGCTGATGGCTTTCCTTTGAACGTATCTCTTTACTGAGGTCCTGAGCCTGCAGGAGTTCCCAGCGCTCAATTACACCTGGAAGGCAGGGGTCAGATTAATCATAAATACAGATAATTATTTCTTTTCACCAGTTTTAAAATGCCTATAATGTACTTCTTGGTTTTCTATTATTTTCTGTGTGTGACACACATTGTGTTTGTATGAAAATGATTTGGAAACTTGATTGAGTCACCTTTTCTAAGTTACAATCATGACCAATAAACAGAGTATTTTGGGCCTTATATTTAAATATGCAGCTATGTTGAATATATTAGTCATGTAATATTACCAGATGAAATATTACCTGATGTCTGAGACTCTGAGCTGCTTGGATCTGCCAGTCCTGACACCGTATCCTCTTCCTCTTTCAGCTCTGAGCCCACCCTCTTCACCATGTCAATGTTGCCACGACACTCACCCAACAATCGCAGCTACAGACACAAAATGATAATCCAGTCGGCAAGCAATTTAGGACTAACTTTACTCCAAATAGTTTTAAGGAGAAATATGGAGAAACTAATGCCTAAAAGGTGAAAGTTTCACAAATGATGGTCGAAAAGTGACATTATAAGAAAAAAAAAACAACAAAAAAACAAAAACAAAACCGCAACAAAAATGTAAAAAAAAAACCTATGAAATGTAGCTGTATTGTAGATGTGTTGTAGATGTGCAGTTGTGATAAAGATGTGGTATAGATGTTGTGTAGATGTGGTGTGGTGTAGATATTCTGCAGTTGTGGTGTAGATGTAATATAAATGGTGCATAGATGTCGTGTACCTGTGGTATAGCTGAAGTGTAAATGCAGTGTAGATTAGTAGATGTGACACAGATGTGTTATAAATGTGGTGTAGATGTGATATAGATATGTAGATGTGGTGTAGATATTCTGTAGTTGTGGTGTAGATGTGACACAAATGTTGCATAGATGTGGTGTGTAGTGGTCACCTCGAGGTGGAACAAATAGTTACACCTGTCTTTGACCTTGGTCTCAGAAGACCTCCTTTAAAGAGACAGAACTCTGTTCAAGTTACTGATGTAGATGTGGTGTGTAACTGATGTAGATGTGGTGTAATGATTGATTGATTGATTGATTGATTGATTGATGTCTTTATTGTCATTGTACGGAGCACGGAGCACAGTGAAATTACATTTAAGAACACCCATTCAAGAGACACACGTGACAAATCATGGGGGAACAGGTAATTGATGTAGATGCAGTGTAGCTGTAATGTAGTAGAAGTGTGGATGTGTAAAAATGTTTGATTTATAGTATTTTTCCTTTCTAACTTAGGTGGACGTCTTAGATGTCATCTTTTTGATTTTCAAAGATATATTATCACCAATACACCAAGTTTCAATTCAGTAGCTCTAAATACATCGGAGTTATATTCAATGAAATTAACTGTGGAGTCCATCTTAAATTTTGGATTTGCACAATTTGTTGATGATTATTGTCAACAATTATTATACCAATATTCAGTTCTATGTGTCTAAAACTGGCAGAAAAATATTTTTTTCAAATTAGCATAATCCTTTGGCTTAAAATTTGAAATTAACTTTCAGAATATCATAGAGATTGCTCTTGGATACCACCATACTAAATTTCCACTCAGTGTTTCTAAAAATTAGCTGGTAATGCTTTCTTTTACGGTACCCTTATTACCATGTAATTACAAGGTAATAAAAATGTAATTAAATGGTAACTACTACCTTATTACCAAATAATTACGTGGAAATTAGGGTACAATTTTATTATGTAATTAATTGTCTGCAGTAATGTAGCACTTACCCTGGTAATGTATTACAATTCACTAACACCTAAATAAGCAGTAGGTAATTTGGACAGTTTTAAAGTTATGTTTTATTGCAATTAACCACTAACCCCAAAATTTAGTTGCATTCTTTCGGTTATAAATATAGTGTTGAGTTACTATTGAATAGTAATTTGATTGTAGTTACCCAATAAAGGTAGTTTTACTAAAAGTAGTTTTTCTTTTGTACCATAATTACCAAAAAATTACACGGTAATAAGGTATTAATTACATTTTTCGTTATCTTGTAATTACATGGTAATAAGGTATTAATTACATGTTTTTATATTACCTTGTAATTACATGGTAATAAGGGTAACATAAAAGAGTGTTACCAAATAGCTGAGGTATAGTTATTTGAAATTCGCTTTGGTGGATATCTTGGATTTTGTGTTTCTATTCAGATATTGTCAAAAAAATATAATGACTACTTTGATTGATTGATTGATACTATATATATTATCAGCTGTGTGTGTTTAAAAATGCCTCAATTATAGGCATTTTTTTGTCCCAGTCCCACCCTGGGTGTAGCTGTGGTGTTGATGTAATTGTAACCAGGGTAATTTATACAAGATGATGTTTGAGTCGTTGAAGTTCTTTGTTATACTGATAAGGGTGTGAAATTATTATATATGTACATGTATTTGTGTATGTGTGTGTATATATA